AGCAGATGTCTTCTCCAAACACAATCCAACTATTTTTCACCTAACACATTTCCCACTTTCTGTATCCAAGTCTCTCTAACAGCAGATGTCTTCTCCAAACACAATCCAACTATTTCTCACCTAACACATTTCCCACTTTCTGTTTCCAGGTTTCTCCTCTCAGCACAGCTGTTACATTACACTGTATCTGTCATCACATGACTGTGTTTTCTGGCAATTTCTTTGTCCTGCCTAATGTCATCACTATTGTGGCAGACTCTTCTCTGTTCCTGACTTTACTGGAGAACCCACTGGTGGTGAGCATTGTGCTGTGTGTATGGGGCATCTACCTGGCAGTTGTTATCTGGGCACGCAAGAAGGACAGGGAAGACATTCTTAAGGTGAGAGAACTTTGTTTCTGATGTTCAAGATTTCTTGGGATTGAAATTGGAGTTAACCATCACTAAGTGAATTTCAAAATAAACCATATTAAATTGTTTAAATCTTGAAATATGTGGTAAAAAAAAGGGGTTAAAGCACTCCAGGCTTCCCCCAAGTAAATTTACAGGCAATTCTATACACTTATTTTGGTAATACTGCAATTGAATTAGACTTAAATTTGGCATTCCTGTAGCATTTATTTACGAAATGAGTAAAAAATATGACAAAGAGGTACAAGAAATAATTTTAGCTCAAATCTATCACAAGCTTTTTTGCTCCACTGTTGTGAATGAAATTGCTAGCAACAGTTCCTGTTGTTTTCATCTCTGCAGGCTGAAGTGACAGTGTTAGAAGACAATGATCCAGAGCACAAATATGGCTACCTAATTACTGTCATCACTGGCTGGAGGACAGGGGCAGGAACCACAGCTAACGTGGGTTGTTTTATAACAGGTAACTATGTCTACCCGGTCACTGACAGAGACCACAGCTGAAGGGTTTTTGTTTATAAAATGTGAATTTTAATCCTGAACTTTAAAAAATTCCATTCCCATTTAAACTTTTATTGTTATTTCTTGTTTTCAATTTTTATTTTCCATTTTAAAGGTGAAGATGGTGAAAGTGACTGTCATGTCCTGAGTGATCCCAGACGTCCAGTATTTGAGAGTGGTGGCGTGGACAGTTTCCTACTGACCTGTGCCCAGTGCCTGGGTGACCTCGTCTCTGTCACCATCTGGCACGACAACTCTGGAACTGCTCCTGCCTGGTTTCTGGAGAAGTTGACAGTGAGGGACCTGCAGACAAATGAGGTGTGTGAGTTCCTGTGTAACCGCTGGCTTGCTCTGGACCTGGACGACTTCTGCATCCAGCGCACACTGCGCCCTGCCTCAGTGGAGGAGATGAAGGAGTTCTCGTACCTGTTCTCCAGTAATAGTGGCTTCAGCATGAGGGAAAAACATCTGTGGGTCAGTGTGTTCTCTTGTCCACCAAATTGTCCCTTCACAAGAACCCAGAGACTGACCTGTGCTCTGACCCTTCTACTGACCACCATGCTGACCAATATCATGTTTTATGGCATCCCAACTGATGACCCTGAAGACCAATACCAGGTCTGCTTAATTTTTGTTTTCACCAATGTATTTATTATTTTTTGTTTTACATAAGAATAATAAGTAACAAGAGTTAATAAGTAATATTGTTGCAGGTGGCTTGAAAATGATTGGTTGTGTTTTTATGTTTGATACAATTATAATGTTGTATTGGTTCATTTATTGCTTCATTGTATTGCTGTATTTGAAATATTTTGAACATGTTTGTTGTGGTATTTATGGTTGTGACATATTTTATGGTTGTAGCAGTATTTGT